AAGGTCCTGCACTCTCTGTGTAAAAGCCAGACTGCCGACCCTAAATAAAAATCCAACCTACTTGAAACTCCTATATGACTTTACAACTCATAAGCTTAAATAATCATGTGTGATGAATGAACAAGATGTTTAAATCAAATGTCTGAGTAATCTGTGCTTAAACCAATAATGAATTTGAAATGAATAATACTTTTACAATGATCCATTTATATCACAAATCATTATGTGTTTGATTTAACAAGTTAATCATTGTTTACACTCATACACATTATAATAAGATACATATTAAGGTTAATATTTACTTCACAAAAGAGTTGTAAAATATTCTCATTCATAAAGTGTTAAAATTTATCGAAGGATCTTTCATGGCGGTTAAAACGAAGAGTCGGAGTACCCGGCCCGGAGGGTTACCGGGGTCCCACCCTGGAGCCAGGCCTGGGGTTGGGGCCCGTGAGCGAGCGCCTGGTGGCCGGGCTTTCGCCCATGGGGCCCGGCCGGGCCCAGCCCGAACCGGATACATGGGCTCGTCCAACTGTGGACCCACCACCCGCAGGAGGAACATGAAGGGTCCGGTGCAATGCGAATCGGGTGGCAGACCAAGGCGGGAGCCTTGGCGGTCCAATCCCCGGACAAGAAAACTAGTTTTTGGGACATGGAACGTCACCTCGCTGGCGGGGAAGGAGCCGGAGCTTGTGGCAGAGGTTGAGCGGTACCGGCTAGATATAGTCGGACTCACCTCGACACATTGCATTGGCTCTGGAACCCGAGACCTGGAGAGGGGTTGGACACTCTACTTTGCTGGAGTTGCTCCGGGTGAGAGGCGGAGGGCTGGGGTTGGCTTTTTGTTAGCCCTGAGACTCTCTGCCTGTGTGTTGGGGTTTACCCCGGGGGACAAGAGGGTAGCTTCCTTGCGCCTTCGGGTCGGGGAACGGGTCCTGACTGTTGTTTGTGCTTATGGGCCAAATATCAGTTCAGAGTACCCACCCTTTTTGGAGTCCCTGGGACGAGTGCTAGATAGTGCTCCATCAGGGGACTCCATTGTCCTGCTGGGGGACTTCAATGCTCACGTGGGCAATGACAGCTTGACCTGGAGGGGTGTGATTGGGAGGAACGGCCCACCTAATCTGAACTCGAGCGGTGTTCTGTTATTGGACTTCTGTGCAAGCCGCAGTTTGGCCATAACGAACACCATGTTCGAACATAAGGATGCCCACCGGTACACTTGGTACCAGGGCAGCCTAGGTCGCAGGTCGATGATAGATTTTGTAGTCGTATCATCTGACCTGCGGCCGTATGTTTTGGACACCCGAGTGAAGAGAGGGGCGGAGCTGTCAACTGATCACCACCTGGTGGTGAGTTGGATCAGATGGCAAGGGAACATGCCGCGTAGACCTGGCAGACCCAAACGCATAGTGAGGGTCTGCTGGGAACGCCTGGCAGAAGAACCTGTCAAGACGGTTTTCAACTCCCACCTCCGGCAGAGCTTTGACCACGTCCCGAGAGCAGTGGGGGACATTGAGTCCGAGTGGGCCTTGTTCCACTCTGCGATTGTCGAGGTGGCTGTTGCTAGCTGTGGTCGTAAGGTGGCCGGTGCCAGTCGTGGTGGCAACCCCCGTACCCGCTGGTGGACACCAGAGGTTCGGGGAGCCGTCAGGCTGAAGAAGGAGGCCTACAGGGCGTGGCTGGTCTGTGGGTCTCCGGAGGCAGCAGACAGGTACCGGATAGCCAAGCGGGGTGCAGCAGTGGCAGTTGCCGAGGCTAAATCTCGGGCGTGGGAGGAGTTTGGTGAGGCCATGGAGAAATACTATCGATCGGCTCCAAAGAGGTTCTGGCAAACCGTCCGGCGCCTCAGGAGAGGAAGGCAGCAACTCGCTCACACTGTTTACAGTGGGGATGGGGAGCTGCTGACGTCAACTGAGGCTATAGTCGGACGGTGGAAGGAATACTTTGAGGAGCTCCTCAATCCCACCAATGCGCATTCCGAGGAGGAACCAGAGCTGGGAGGCCTGGGGATGGACTGTCCGATCTCGGGGGCAGAAGTTGCAGAGGTAGTCAAACAACTACACAGCGGCGGAGCCCCGGGGGCGGATGAGGTTCGTCCTGGGTATCTCAAGGCTATGGATGTTGTGGGGCTGTCATGGTTGACACGTCTCTACAACGTTGCGTGGTCATCGGGGGCAGTTCCTAGGGAGTGGCAGACCGGGGTGGTGGTCCCCATCTTTAAGAAGGGTGACCTGAGGGTCTGTTCCAACTAGAGGGGGATCACACTCCTCAGCCTCCCTGGAAAGGTCTACTCCAAGGTACTGGAGAGGAGGGTACGATCGATAGTTGAATCTCAGATAGAGGAGGAGCAATGTGGTTTTCGTCCTGGCCGTGGAACTGCGGACCAGCTCTATACCCTTGCAAGGGTGATGGAGGGGGCATGGGAGTTTGCCCAACCAATCCACATGTGCTTTGTGGATTTGGAGAAGGCTTATGACCGTGTCCCCAGGGGCACCCTGTGGGGGACGCTCCAGGAGTATGGGGTGGGTGGCTTTCTGTTAAGGGCCATTCAGTCCCTTTACCAGAGGAGCGTGAGTTTGGTCCGCATAGCCGGTAGTAAGTCGGACCTGTTCCCAGTGAGGGTTGGACTCCGCCAGGGCTGCCCTTTGTCACCGGTTCTGTTCATCACTTTTATGGACAGAATTTCTAGACGCAGCCGTGGTGTGGAGTGTGTCGAGTTTGGTGGCAGGAGAATCTCGTCTCTGCTTTTTGCGGATGATGTGGTCCTCCTAGCTTCATCCAGCTCTGACCTTCAGCTCTTGCTGGGTAGGTTCGCGGCCGAATGTGAAGCGGCTGGGATGAGGATCAGCACCTCCAAATCTGAGACCATGGTTCTCGACCGGAAAAGGGTGGCTTGCCACCTCCGGGTCGGGGGAGAGGTCCTACCTCAAGTGGAGGAGTTTAAGTATCTCGGGGTCTTGTTCACGAGTGAGGGTAGGAGGGATCGGGAGATCGACAGGCGGATTGGTTCGGCGTCTGCAGTGATGCGGACGCTGAGCCGATCTGTCGTGGGGAAGAGGGAGCTGAGCCAGAAAGCCAGGCTCTCGATTTACCGGTCGATCTACGTCCCAATCCTCACCTATGGTCATGAGCTTTGGGTAATGACCGAAAGAACGAGATCGCGGATACAAGCGGCCGAAATGAGTTTCCTCCGTAGGGTGGCCGGGCTCAGCCTTAGAGATAGGGTGAGGAGCTCGGACATTCGGGAGGGACTCGGAGTAGAACCGCTGCTCCTCCGGATCGAAAGGAGCCAGTTGAGGTGGTTTGGGCATCTGGTCAGGATGCCTCCTGGATGCCTCCCCGGGGAGGTGTTTCGGGCATGTCCTGCCGGCAGAAGGCCCCCGGGTCGACCCAGGACACGTTGGAGAGGTTACATCTCCAATTTGGTCCGGGAACGCCTTGGGGTCCTGCCGGAGGAGCTGGTGGACAAGGCCGGGGAGAGGACGGCCTGGAGCTCCCTAGTTGGGATGCTGCCCCCGCGACCCGGACCCGGATAAGCGGAGGAAGACGACGACGACGATAAAGTGTTAAACACCTTTGTATCTGAAGAAGGCCTGGCTTATGACAAATGTTTTGGTAAGCCCTCAAGACATGGCACATTCTGATTTGACAGAATGTGCCAGAATTTATAAACAATGAGTTTATCAAAACAAGAATTACTTCCCGATTGTTATTTCTTTATGCTACAAAATACTTTCACTTGCAGTCAATCTGATTATTTTCACCAAGCAGAATCGGGATCACTACTGAGTGATTTTAAGTAAATTTTTACTCACAATGCTAGTTGGATCCGTTAACAATACATTTTATTTAAAAGCGCCTTTCAGAACACCCAAGGTCACTTGACAGAAAATACATTCAGAAAATACATTAAAGCAGCAATAAAACCACAATAAAACGCAAAGAAGAAAAAACAAAGAGAGAAACGGTTCAGTAAAATCAGAGGTCATAGGCAGATTTAAACATGTGTGTTTTGAGTCTGGTTTTGAAAAGGGTGAAACTGTCGATGTCCGTGATGTCTGGGGGGAGTGAGTTCTAGAGACGGGGAGCAGAGCGGCTGAAAGCTCTGCTCCCCATGGTAGTAAGACGCGCAGAAGGAACAGCAAGATGGATGGAGGAAGAAGATCTGAGAGAACGGGAGGGGGTGTTAATACTTATAAGGTCTGAGATATATGGAGGAGAGAGGTCATGGATTGCTTTGAAGGTGTGGAGGAGAATTTTGAAGATGGACCTGAATTTGACTGGGAGCCAGTGAAGCTGCTGAAGAACCGGGGTGATGTGGTGAAAGGAAGGGGTTCTGGTGATAATACGGGCTGCTGAATTCTGGACCAGTTGCAGTTTATGAAGGGGTTTGTTGGGGAGACCATAAAAAAGTGAGTTGCAATAATCGAGACGGGAGCATTAACTTACTATGGTTAATGCTAAGCTAACGCAAAAGGAGTACAGCCGGGTCAGGAGAATGACTGGGCTGGTTACAAATAGTTTTTTCTCACTATGTAACTCTTGGAAATATCAACAGACAAGATTAAAATTTGAGTAGAATATCCTTTTAAAGTTCAGCCAACCACACAAATGCAGAATGAGGCTCTGCTGTACGTTTGTGAGGAGACACAGGGCTGCCGTGTGTCTCTCTGCTGGATGGAATTTCAAAACACTTTCTCTGGAATAATTGTAAAAGGTCAAAATAACGGCAGTGTAAACGTTAATGAAAAAAAAACATGTCCATGCAGCACGAAGAAATCCACTTTTCACAACAAATCTACATTCCCCCAAACTGAGGTCATTCAAATGGGTTCAATCAGAACAGTTTGCAACAAAACGTCACTTCAAAGATCTGAATTATTGCCGTAACAGAACTGTCTGATGAAAACACAGGTTGTGATATTTGTAACTGTGTTAGTTTGAGATTAGAAATGCTTCTGCCTATAAAACAGCTACAGACTGTCTAAGACTCTCACCGTTATGACAATTGTACATCCACACACGATGGCCATCATACCGACACCTGCATTTTGTGATGTTGTTGGTGTAATCTGACTCTGGCACTTCATAGTTTGGATTAATGATAATCTGTTAGAGGAAATTGACACAGTGATTGAGTTTTTAAAATGAAGCACAAACACATGATGTCTGAAGAAAAGTGAGGAACATCACCTGGAAAATGTAGTCCCCAGGTTTCACCTCAGTGATGTCCACCCACTGGCAGTCGATGTCGTGCCTGTAGGTATCCCAACAGCCCACAGTGATGCCCTGCTCGCCAAAGTTAGCACATTCATATCGCTTTTCAATGCCTGCCATGACAACGTATAAAATGTTAAATACATAAACATCCTTAGAACCACTAAAATGTTTAGTGAGTGTATGGAAATGTTTCTTTCACAGTTTGTAAAACAGACAGAACTAACCTTCATCACACTCTGAATCCTCCAGGCAGAAGCTCGCTTTGTGTCCCTCTGCCACCTTAGTTCCATTTAGACTTATCAGGTCGTAGGTGGTGAACACATCCATGCTGTGATAATGCCTACACACACACACGCACGCACGCAAGCACACACACACACACACACACACACACGCACGCACGCAGGCACGCACACACACACACACACACACGCACGCAGGCACGCACGCAGGCACACACACACACACACACACACACACACACACACACACACACACACACGCACGCACGCAGGCACACACACACACACACACACACACACACGCACGCAGGCACGCACGCACGCAGGCACACACACACACACACACACACACACACACGCACGCACGCACGCACGCACACACACACACACAGTACATAAGTAAAAAAAAAAAAACTGCAGTTCCCTCCTCATCCACTAGGGGTTGGAAACAGAAAGGAGCAACGACTCCCATTTTAAAATGCCAACCTCACAACAGCAATAAACGTGTTTACAGCGTGGTACAAAAAACACAATAGGGTTACGAGAACTCTGTGGGGGTGGATGTTTTAACTCGTGTTTAGATGTAATTGAAGATACTTTAGTGAATCTACAGAACAAGCTAGGTTGTGATCGCAAACGCGGTCATGGAACACCCACCCCTCCCCTCGGGTATCTTTCCTGAGACACTTCTGATGGAACCAGAAACCCAAGATACTGGAGGAAACGAGACAGCGCTAAATACCAGTCAATGATTTCTAGGTCCAGCTTCAGATGGTGTTTTTCTTTTTTGGACTCTGGTACAGTTTGTCCTAAAGCTGAAGTGGTAGCAGCCGGCTGTTTCTCCTTCTCTGATTTTACTGAGCGGAGAACCTCTCACACCAGCGGTGTTCTGCTGCTGAATACGTGAGTGTGTGATGAGTGGAGGACCCAGAGATGTGCGGCGGTTCAGTGAGACTGACAACCGGATGGTCCAATAGTTGCTTTAGGTCTGAAACGTGTTAAGCTTGAAAACACGAATAACTAGGGGCATGTCCTATTGAGTGGCAAGTGTCCAGTGAGCCATCAGTGATAGCACTAGCAGCTTGCTCCCCTGCTTACTCCAGGGACGGACTCAGCCTCATGTTACTTGTTGCAGCCTGGAAGGCAGAGCGTAGCAGCATCACTCAAGTGCGCCCGCCGAACTCCTTTAGCTTTGTTCAGCTCTGTAACTTCCAGAAAGGGTCCATTTTCACCTATATATTGACCTACATAGTGACTGGCCATCTACAGAAATAATTCCATGTTCTAGGGGGATTTTAAACTCCCATCTTCTAAAGCCCAGAAGATGCTGCAGTGCATGTTGACATTCCATGACGTCAAGATTGTCAGCCTATGTCTCCAAACAAGCTTTCTTCTGATAAGACTGCAGGATTACACACTCTGAATGAAAAGTGAACTTTTACAACGCATAAGTTAAATAATCATAAATAATCATATGGTTGAATGAACCAGATGTTATATGAATAATAATATTCATGTTCGGATAATCTGTGCCTAATTCAGTGAAGTTGAAATGATTATTGTTGTGCTTACAATGATCCATTATATTTTATGATCAGCAATGTTTGATTTAACAAGTGAATCATAATCTACACTCATACACAATGTTCACTAGATATAAATTACTGTTAAGGTCACATATCATATAGGTTTAAAGATGATACATCCACAGAACAAGAACATCTTGTACCTGATGAAGATGTGGTTTCTGAGGGATGTTGGTAACGTCAAAAAACATGTCAAATTCCGATTAGCAGGAATGATTATTTCTAGATTATTAAAACTAGAGTGACTCCCGAGTTACTCGGTTTCCGGCTGACACTCCGATTCGGCCAAATTGGGAAAGAAGCCTTTTTGAAACAACCTCCTTGACCTTAAGTCAAAACCTTGCCACGAAGCTGCATGTGATTACAGACACAACAGCTCCTTCCAGAGCTACTTCACACTTAATCTGCAGACCCGGCTTGCATCTCATGGCCGGGGAAGCTGAACTCAGAGGAAGCTACTAATCACTGAGGATCGTGGTCTCGACGTCCGGTGACCTCACCACTCTGACCGCAAACCTCAGGACCACTGGGAGCAACTCATAGCAGGGTATGGTAGACCTGCATACTGGAGTCTGATGAGGTTTTTAGATAAACAACTCTAGTTGATAGCAGACCAAATTCTTTACACCCATAATTCACAGTTTCTTCCAGGTACAAAGGTTCTGATATACATCTACTTTACATTCCATTCACAGTACATCCATCACACATCATTATTCATAGCTGTCATGTATTATAATTAGTCTAGAAAATAAAGTTTATTTTTAATTATATACTTGACTCTGTCTGAATTAATACGAAGTGTGTTTATGGTCCCTGAATAAGCAAAGAATCCTAAATTATTCTGATTAAACATTCAAAGATCAATCAGGTTGATATTTCATATTTATATGGAATCATCACATCTTATTGGTCATAATTTAACCCACAATCTCATTTCATTACAGCTCCCTCGGCTTGTAGCTACACTGGCTCAGCGTTTGTCAAGTGTCAGTCATCTGTCCCCACCCTCAGCCCTGCTCTCAACTCCACTTTTGTTTTATGCGGGAGCGACAAACATATGCTGGTGGGGATGGGAACCACCTTCTGGTTTTCCATTCAGCTTTTCAGAAACCCATGGGCGATGGCACAGCGGGTTTGTCCTAAACGTCGTAAATGTACAGTCATTGGTTAACAACAAATTTCCAAATATGGGACCACAGACCTGTGACACTCATGCCACACCCACTGGTGCCGGGCAGCTTTGGGCCGGAAGTCGGAGTGGCCATTGTTGTGGATCTGGGAGGAGAAGCGCAGCAAGCGACGGAACGTGTTGGCTGGCACCTGGCTGGAGGTGGAGGACAGACAGTTCTCCTCGAATGCACACTGAAGCATGAACATGGGCCGATCCTCCATGTAGGTGGTCTGCTCCACCACTTGGGGGTTCAACACTAGGTCAGGGGCAGCTGGAGGAAGGAGCATGTGGAGAGAACAACCACAGAGAAACAGACAGATCAATCAAGGAAAAATGGAGAGTATATTAGCAGAGCTCTTTAGTGATTCAAGGCAATCGCAGACCTTTCGCTTTTCTCTGAAACTGCTTCTTCTCATGAAAGAAGCTAAACCTCAGTGGGAGCACTAGTAAAAACCTGTCTGCCAGCTTCATTGGCTGAGTTCATTTCAAGATCCTGGTTCTGGTCTGTAGGGCCTTACATGGACAAGCACCATCTTACTATATTGGTGATCTTCTCAGTCCCTACACCCCCAGCAGATCCCTGAGGTCCAGTGATCAAAGCCTACTGGTTGTGCAGCACACCAGGCTAAAGGTCAAAGGTCAAGGTCAACTTTGTTGCTCACCTGCAGGCAAGGCAGGTTAAGTGTCATGCCCAAGGACACAACGACAGTGATAGACTGAGCAGTTATTATTAAAAGCCAGGTCAAATAAATAAGTTTTCGTTTTGACTTAAAATGCTCCATGCTTTGAGAGGACCTCACTTCTAAGGGCAGGCTGTTCCAGAACCTAGGCCACTGAAATAGCTCCATCTCCACGGGTCGTGCTTTTTTGGCCCCCTAACAGTAACTGGGAACAGGACCTCAAATTCCTGACAGGAGTGTAGATGGTGATGTAGGGTGACCGTTGGTTGGTTAAAACCCATGTTCGTGAGGTGGATGTTTTCTATGAGCGTCACAGTGTGCCCACACGTGTTGTGATTCCGTCTCAAACCCTATGGGTAATAGTTCCACGTATTACCGTGGTCCACGTAGGTGAGGTTTCTCTATATTACTTGGATCCTGGTGAGTATAAGTCTGTTGTGGAGTTTTCTCCTTTTTATGCTAACATCTACTTTGCTCTCTCTCTAGCTACAGTGGATCGTGTTACATTCAATGGTCCGACCATGGTTCGAGTTGGTGTGGTGAACAGGGTGCTGCGTGAGTTGTCTGCAGATCCTGGTCTCAGGTTTCAACCAGTGTCTTACTCTTGGTCCTCCGCTGATTCTGTCGTGATATTCGCTGCATGCCTAAACCTTTGTTTGTCTTTGGGGTTGTCATTTCTCCTGTTCCGTCACTTCTTCGCACGGTTGACCTCTCTAGAGGAGTCGGTCCGCAACGTCGGTGGCCACCTATCTCGAGCTCTAGTACCGGTTGTTCATGAAGCTCTGGCTGCCCAGGTGCCTCCACCTGCACCGGCCGGTCCTGTACCTCCACCGGCACCCCTTCGCGTTCAGCTAGGCCTTCAACCTCGAAAGGGGGGTGATCTCTATTATCCAGATTCATGAGCCCATAGTTCCCTGTTTCAGGTTACACAAGTTTGTTTGTGTTTGTGTGTGTGCATGGTTGCATTTCCTGTCTACACATGACGTGCAGACTTGGGGTGACTTGAGATGGTTATGCTGTGGGTTCCTGGAGTCCTGTAATGGTTAAGTATTAATAGTTAAAGGGAGTATTCCACAAACTGTTGTGTTTATCCAAATTCCATTTTTGATTTTTATCTACTAATCTATAATTCCTTATGGGGTATATTCACATATAGGCTTGATTACTAACAACACTGATTTACATTTTAGTGTTTCTTCTTCTTTATCTTATTAGTAATTACAGTACATTATTGATTCTTTTAAAGATATATTCACAGATACATTTTTGCATTATTACATTGCAGCTGATTTCTTTTCGCCATTTCAATTATAATCCATTTTATTTTGATTTTGATCAGTTATGGGCTATAGTTTATTTTACCCTTCTGTTTTGATAAAATTATTGCTCCAATGCGTGGATTTTCCCTTACATGTATTATAGGGTTATATTAATTTTGTTCTTTTTGCAACACTTTTCCAGTACACGTAGTTTACTGCAACCATTTATCTCACCTGACCTGCGTTCACATACTTTACTTCACATAGCACATACAGGGTTCACATAATTGCTTCACACAGCACATACAGGTACATATAGTGCTAGGTTTCTTTTATTTTTTTATTTAGCATCAGATGAAATCTGTGTCTACATTGAAGTGCCCTGTGTATGCTCTTCTCCTCCCCTGGGTTCGCCTGTGATCGTCGCTTCCTGGGAGGACATCTCTACACCATCGCCTGATTCGGTTGCCTGAGGGTCCGGTTCGTGTGGGTTTGGATGTCCTGTGATTCCTGCCATGCTTGCTGGAGCTCTGTGGTTCACCTGGGTTCTGGACCGGTCCCTGATCATCTGCTTACTTTCCTTAGGATCCTGATAAGTGGATTTCTTTTTTTTTTAAGTTTGAGGAGCTACATTGACTATTCTCTGGTGTGGGTGTTTGCTTTCCTCACTCCAGGAGCCTTTGCCTGGAAACTAACCTGTGCTTCCACGTGTAACGGAATGGAAAGACTGTGTTTTTTCCCTCCTCTGCATCAAGACTAGTCTGCATGAGATATAACTCAAGGTCTCATGCATTACTTCTAACCTGCTTATTTTCAGCTCAACAGTAGAATGAAGAATGAACTCTTTTCTTTTAATTAATCAAAGAATTCGATTTTAATAAAGCTAATCAAAGTATTAGTCAATAAATAAGATGTGACCGATCTGTGAAATGAAAATATTACCTTATTATAGTCCTATAGAATATAATAAGTAATATGACTTTAAGTGTTCCAACAGGACTCATTTCACGTAGCATTAAAAAGACATAACACATTACTTTCACTGATCCAATCAGAATCTTAAGGTTGGTTTATGCTTGACGCGTCCGCGAGGTCCGCGTGGCGAAATTGCGTCATTTTAACAACCACGCCCCTCCACCGCGCCTCCGCACGGCCCAAAATTTACGCAACGCACAACTAGGAAAATTTCTAACCACGCGGACGGTCGGACGCGGAAAAACATGGCGGACCGGCAAGAACTAGTATGGCAGAGGTTCGTAAATACAGACATTTGTATGATTCAGCTCTCAGAGATCACCGTGATCAACATGTTGTTAATAATTCTTGGAGAGAAATAGCTCGCACTGTCGGAAAAGACGAGGACGCTGTTAAAAAAGCTGGAAAAACATGAAGGACTGATATGTGAAGCTAAGGAAGGGGAACAAACGGAAAAGCGGTGATCCTGGTGGAAACAAGAAAATGAAAATGCTGGAATGCCATGTTGGCTCACCGCAGAGACGAGCCGCATGAACCATAAACGCTGTAAGTTGTGAAGCACGTTCCATCCGCGAGCCGCATCACCAAGCGGAAAGTGAATGCGTCAAGCATAAACCAAGCTTTGCAGATCTGACGGAGGCGTGGTTTTGATGGTGTTTGGTAATTTTTCATTCGTCAATAAACCATAACATCCGAAGTATAAAACTATGCCACGTCATCTCTAACGCCAGTTCAAAGTGTTCCAGAGAAAGTGACGGATTGGCCAATCCTGATCTATGCTCTTTAACCGAAAGAACCAACGACAAGCTGAAAAATTTGTCGCTATCCCAACTGCGGCAACAGCTCCTTTCAGAATAAAAGCTGAACCATCAAGACCCAGGCTTGGGTCTCACCAGATGCCAACAAACTGTTGTGTACCAAGAAGTAACTCAGACTGGACTGTTCGGCTCTGCTGCTTTTCCTACCGGCTCAGTTCCAGAGAGGGTCAAGCTAAGACCTTGACTTTCCGGATCTAAAGAGGACTTCCTGAAGGGTAGGTAGACTGGAAAATGGTGTCTCATGTGTTTATGAACTTCCTAATCAAAGCTTAATGCGAAGAAAACACTTTCAGTTCCCATCAGAACTAATCGCTTCTTCAGATTTGCTGGTTCTGATTTGCATCACACATCATCCATTCACCGTCTCATCCACTTTAGTTACACCATACATTTAGTTTTAAAGTCAGTCTAGTTTAATTTATTAGTAATAAAATTCTTAACTTTTAAACTTGACTCTCTCTTCTGTTGTCTCTGAGTGAATACGAAGCGGTTATCTACTCCCTGCATTAAAAAGTTCCAATCTTCTGGTTTAAATAACTCACAGATCCGTAAGGTGGATTTCATATTTCCTATGAAATCCCACGCCTTATGAGTTTGGAGTATCTGGATGTTCCCTGGAGGTGGGTTCACTGGGGGTGTCTGGGACGGGGGGGAGGGGGGGGGTTGACCTCTGATAACCTCTAGAAATTTTTATTAATCTCTTTTAAATGATAGTAGCACAAACAAAAATTTTTGCAGCACAAACCAGCACAAACGTAGCACAATGGTTTGATACCACTTTTGTTGGATTTGAAGAAGGTGGGGGAGCTGGTTGACCTTTTGACCTTTACATTTTCATTAATATCTTCAAGACAGAAGTAGCGCAAACGACAATTTTAGCAGCACAAACCAACACAAACGTAGAACAGTTGATGTACACCAGTTTTGTTTGATTCCATTAATGTGGGGGGGCTGGTTGACCTCTGATGAACTCTAGAAATTTTCATTAATATCTTTAAAATGATAGTAGCACAAACGAAAATGTTTGCAGCACAAACCAGCACAAACGTAGCACAATGGTTTGATACCACTTTTGTTGGATTTGAAGAAGGTGGGGGGGCCAACTTCACTCAGGTGCCAAGGTGCCTCTCGTTTGTCTGACTACTTTCATAAACTACTGTTAGGGCACAGAATTATTCTGTCTGGTGCTTTCAGCGCTGCACAGATGTTACGTAAATGTTAAAAATGTAGCTTACCGCAACTTTTGTAAAGTTCCCGTTGCCACCGGGCAGCGGCAGCAGAGACGATCTCCGAAAAATGTCCGTGACACGGACTCCGTTGTTGTCTGGAAGTTTTTTTTCCAAGTTAAGAAAAGAGGCGGACGTGTTTCCTAAATCCTGCACCAGTCCAAGCAAGGCAACTTCTTTCTGTTTGTATTCCGTTTTAGTAGCCATTAGCACTGTGCATTGTTGTGTGCGTCAGTGATATTCAGTCTACGAGGAAATCGTGCAATGACAAAGGTTCCGCCGTGCTTGAAATGCAAGCTGCAATTAAATGCGTTAATTTTTTTTTTACGCGTTATTTTTTTTCTAATTAATTAATCGTAATTAACGCGTTAAAGTCCCGGCCCTAATTAAAAATAGTTTAAACGGGACCCGAAGAAATTCTTGAGGACGACTAACGGAAAAGACGCTAAGAGACGAAGGTAAGCAATACAATTTATTTTCCTGACATCAGTGTTTTGATCGTAGTCGCGCGTTTCTGTCATTTACTTTTAAGTTCCTAACTGAGTCTATCCACAGTTAATACTGATTTGTTTTTCCTTTGTAACATTAACTGTAAAATAAAAATGAAGTTGCTGCATTTTAAGCCTTAGACACGTTGAGATTAGATCACAGTATTCATTTATCTATGACTTTCTCGCAGCACTGACTGGAAGCATCAGCGGCCATGAAAAGAAAAATGGACATTTTGTCCTTTTTTACCGCTGTTGATAAAGAACCGTGTGGACAGAAAGAGGATGAAAGTCACGAGGGAGCTGAGAAGCAGGATGAAAGAGAGAAGGAGGAGTTGGTTGGAGAGGAACCAGAGAGGTCAGAGACTGTCCACCCTGAGAGTGAGGAGGAAGAAGATGTATGCTGTGAGGGAGAGAGTGAGGAGCAAAAAGAGGGACATCTTCTGTCATGTGCACCATGTACACTACCGTCAGGTTTGAGGGTGTTGAACAAACCCTCTGTGATTGCAACTCATATTGTGTGTAAAATGCATTTGAGGCATGCTGACTCTGGACCAAAGTTTCTGTTGTTTATATTTAATAAATAGATAAAATAAGACTCTGAATTAACTAATTATGACTTTTATCCTCATGCTAACATTTATTTTCTTTCAGATATCAGCAAGTGCAAGGATGACCCACCTACTCAGCCTCATTTGACGACATTTCCAGTGACATTAATAGGAGACAGAAGACGCAGCTTTCAGCCAAGCTGGTATGAAAGTCATCCTTGGGTTGAATATTCTGTTACTATGGACTCTACTTATTGTCATGCATGCAGACATTTTAATTCGCCAAGTAGCGCAGGAAGTGTGTTTGACTCACCATGTGGATTTTGGAACTGGAAAAACGCAACTGAGAGAGGAGGTTTTGTTTTTTGGTACATGCAAAGTCTGAAAGGCAAAAATTGTCTGAAAATTGTCTGAAATTGTATTGTGCACATATTTAATTTGTTTGAATGTTATTTTTCATATGTACAGTACATGTAATCTTCAAATAAAGTCACAAACGATAATAATCAACTAGAATTTTTTTTACTCAAGTCTCATGTTGTGGTGAAGCATTCAGAATTGTTATCTGACTACCATAAAAACATGCCAGTTTTACTTTCACAAGTAAACCATTACTGCATTCACTTTAATAGTTTACTTGTTCATTGTCTTTACTTATGAATTTATTTGAATCTTATTTTAGTAAAATACAGCTGTAAAGGATCATAGATGAAAAAGTAAAGGAAAAGTTGTGATACATTTGATCCACAAAATATAGTAAAGATAGATATGAAAAAGAAGAGGACTGCATGGTGGCACAGTGGTTAGCACTGTTGCCTCGCAACACGAAGGTCGCAGGTTCGAAACTCGGCTGCGGCCTTTCTGCGTGGAGTTGTGTGTTCTCCCCATGCATGCGTGGGTTTCCTACGGGTACTCCGGTTTCCCCCACAGATCACAACATGCCCTATAGGTTAAAAAAAATTGTAAGTCACTTTGGGTAAAAGTGTCTGCTAAGCACATAAACATAAACAAAAAATGAATAGTTTCACAGTACTAGGAATTTCCTTTGGCAAAATTGTGCACAAGCACAAAATTAGTTATATGGCGGAGACAAAAAATAATTTTGATATTGACCTAATTTTTCCCTTTTTTTTTTGTCTTGCACCCCCATGAAAAAATACTGGCCCCACTGTGGCCCCCCTGGAAAATTTGGTCTAGAACCGCCCCTGCCTATGGCAACCTGCCCCCCAATTTTATTTGCACCTTATACACTTCCACCAAAGACATTCCACGCAAACACACACTTAGGGCCTTGAGAGTGAGCAGATTCAACGGCACTTGGCAGGGGGATTTCTCAGCCTCCTCCCGGGTGCCGGTGCCCACTTCCAATTTTAAACTGCACTTAGACACCGAGGGCTGTGGGTGCAAGTGGGGTGGTGCGGTGGTATCAGCTGGCATAGGCCAGACGATGCCCACACTGCCCGCTCACCACAGCCATGGAATACACCTCATCAACACACAACACTATGTTGGAGCAGGCGGAGGGAGACTAGGGGTCTTAGCACACCTCTGTTGTTGCTTGGCTTCCTGGGGCTGGAGGCTAGGAGGGAGATCTGGCCGTCTGGTTGGGGTCTGGGGTGGTGGGTTGCTTTGCTCAGCATTGGGCGGGGGAGCCTGCTCATCAGCACCCCAGCAGAAAGGGTCAAACTCTGGAAACCAGTAATGGTTGTACCCAATGTGCAGCAGTACTGGGACCAGAGTGAATAGGGTGTGTATGGGTACTTTATAAAAATAAGCTTCAACAAACTAGAACTGCTTATTTCTCAGCATTAATTGAGGAGAATAAGCATAATCCTAAATTTCTTTTCAGTACAGTTGCTAAACTTACACAGAATCATAGCTCTGAGCCATCTATTCCCTTAGCCCTCAGCAGCAATGACTTCATGGGATTTTTTACAAGTAAAATTAATTCTATTAGAAACAAAATCTTTAGCATCCTCCCTAATGCGATTTCTTCTTCCTCAGTAAGTGAGGCAGCATCAGAGGTGACTGTAGAACCTCATCTGTGCTTGAACCATTTTGATCCAGTTGAGCTTTCAGATTTATCAAAAATATTAGCTTCATCTAAACCTTCAACTTGCATTTTGGATTCAATCCCAACCAAATTATTCAAAGAAGCATTTCCTTTGGTTACTGCCCCCATTCTAGACATAATCAATCTATCCTTAGTAAATTGATATGTACCACATGATTTTAAGGTTGCTGTAATCAAACCTTCACTTAAGAAGCCTTCTCTGGATCCAGATGACCCAATGAATTATAGACCAATATCTAACCTTCCATTTTTATCCAAAGTCCTGGAGAAAATAGTGGCCATCCAAGTATGTGAGCATTTAAACACTAATGCTCTGTTTGAGGAATTTCAGTCTGGTTTTAGAGAGTATCACAGCACTGAAACTGCATTAGTGAGAGTTACAAATGATATTCTTATGGCCTCAGATAAGAATCTTGTGTCTGTTCTAGTCTTGTTAGATCTCAGTGCTGCCTTTGACGCAGTTGATCACAATGTTCTTTTAGATGGACTTGAACATGTTGTAGGGATCAAAGGAACAGTGTTAGGCTGATTTAAATCCTACCTGTCTTGATGGATTTTATTTTGTAAATGTACATGACAAATCGTCTTCATACTCCAGGGTTACTTGTGGAGTACCACAGGGTTCAGTACTTGGACAAATTATTTTTACTAGACAAAGAAAATAGTCAGTTAAAAAAGACTGGATGAACTTTAGATGTTGCTGGTGTGTTTTATATATCATAACATCAGTTATTTTTCTCTAGAATGTGTTTTTCTATTCTAAAGGTGCATTTATTAATACTTACATGTAAATGAGTACATCCCTACAAACCATCTGCCTAATAAATTCTCCGAAACTTCAACTGATATTTCTGTTTCTACCTGTTTTGTTTATTTAATACTTGGTCAGCTTATTGGTATTTTCTTTTTTTTATTAATCTTGTGTTTTAATTTTAAATTAAGATTCAACAGTTGGTTAAATTCAGATTAGGTTCAGAAATCTTGTGCATCCACAGCCAGTATTAGTGATAATTAAGCATTCTGATAAGGTGCCAAACATCCAGATATGTCCACTGTCGCTGCATGCTTGCTTAGTATGAGGATTGCTGTAAAGACTCTGACACTAGTCAGTGACTCGATGCAACCTGCTGGGTTCCTTATATAAGAAACTTGTTACTGATTGGCTTAATGAACTGACCTGCATTGGGATGTTTACTGTGTGAAGGTCCTTGAGACAACTCTTGTCCTGATTTGGCGCTTTATAAATAAACTGAACTGAATAAAACAAAAAAGTAAACACTAAAGTGACCATTAATTACAGTCACCTACTGTAATCCTGAAAAATTACAGTAAGAAACTGTTAGTATTGCACCATGTGACCAAAAACTAGGCTGATGCAATAAAAATCACAATTTCTTACTTTAAAAATATATTGTTACAGCTTTGTACCAATAATTTACAGTAATAATAAGTGAAAAAAAACTACACTAACTTTTTGCAACTTTAAAAACTACATTTACAAACTGTAAACAAAGTGCCACATGACTTAAATGTCTGTTGATGCAAAATAAATTAGTTATTGACTGTAAAAAGTGTTTTACAGCTTATTACTGTAAGATATGTGGTAAACGACTGTACAAACGACAACAATGTCTAACAGTGTGAACAGAAAACGCTCAAGCTGAAAAGCATTAATCAGGCAGGCAGACCTGGCACTGCAAGGTAGTTTCAAGGTCTTACTCTCAGAACAGGAGACTCCAGCAGGATATTGCCGCCCACCTCTGGAGCAGCTGATGTGGACTCCATGATGCTGGCAGTGGGACAGAGACATTTCGGTTCCAGAGCAGCGAACACCACTCATCAGCACATCATCTGCCCTGACCTCACCCGGCCAATAACTCCTCTCCTATGGACAAACAAAAGTTGTATGAGGGGTTTATCATAGATGTCAAATGTGAAGTCATCAAGCACTGCCATGTGCTAGGGATGTGGATCTCCACCACTGAGACAGGTTTGACTCGTATAGCCATACGCTACTAGTGACACGATACATTAACGATACAGTGAAACCCTTTGTCAATACAATTCAATAGGATACATCGCTGCTCATTCATTCATTCATGATTTTAAAATGATTTTCGATTCGATTAAAATAGTAGCATTGTAACATCCAGAAATGGTCAGTTTTCTCCTACAGATTCACCTACATGCCACCGGTCATCTACAGCTCTTATTCCACCCTCTAAGGTGGATTTTACATTCTATCTACCAGCAAGCCACAAGGTTCTGCAAACCCTGTTGACATTTCAGGAGGAACAAGACGTCAGCCTGTGTTCCCAAACAAAGCCCTCTTTTGATAAGACCGCAGGATTGCACACTCTCAAGAAAAAGGAACTTGTACAACTTATAAGTTACATAATCATTAAATTATAGTATAGTATAGTATAGAATAGTAGTATAGTATAAAAATAGTACACAGTTTTTGTAGTTACCCAGTGGGGGATTTCCTAAGTTGAGTAGACTCTTTTTTTGTATTACCCCAGTTAAATATAATTGCTTGGCTGTGAGCTGTTTGGTTGTACCTCTGCCTCCTTTTGTTTTCTGTTAGAACCAGAATTCCTTTTGTTGAGACTTTGACTCCTTTTGTTAGTTTTAAAGTACATGACCTATCGTGGACGGGACCTTCTTTAGTTCAGTTAATCTTCCCCAACTATTTAATATGTTGGTTTTGTGGAGCGTTGCTCCACATACTTTAATTTGACAATAGTCTTTGTCTGAGTTTTCCTCTCTGAGGTCTCCTTTAGTTATACAGTGGTGTGAAAAACTATTTGCCCCCTTCCTGATTTCTTATTCTTTTGCATGTATGTCACACAAAATGTTTCTGATCATCAAACACATTTAACATTAGTCAAAGATAACACAAGTAAACACAAAATGCAGTTTTGAAATGATGGTTTTAGGGAGAGAACAAAATCCAAACCTACATTGCCCTGCGTGAAAAAGTAATTGCCCCCTGAACCTAATAACTGGTCTGGCCTCCCTTAGCAGCAATAACTGCAATCAAGCGTTTGCGATAACTAACTACGAGTCTTTTACAGCGCTCTGGAGGAATTTTGGCATACTCATCTTTGCAGAATTGTTGTAATTCAGCTTTATTTGAGGGTTTTCAAGCATGAACCGCCTTTTTCAGGTCATGCCATAGCATTTCAATGGGATTCAGGTCAGGACTTTGACTAGGCCACTCCAAAGTCTTTGTTACGTGCTCTGCTCCTTTTCGGCCACAAGATGGCCTCAGTGGCTCTGCCTCGTCTGTCTCCTGTGCAGCTGTGTGTAATCTAGCAATCACCGGTCAGTTGTTAAAGGCTGCTCTCCGGCCCACAGTCTGGGAGAAGGTCCAGTGTAGTGAAGGCTCGGAAGAGTTTTTGCTGCTCTCCTCCTCCCGTGTATTGGTTAGTCTCTGCTTTAGGTATTCGCTTTGGTATTTGGTATTAGATTAAACTCTCTGGTAATCCCGACCTAGGAACGGCTATTTAACTTCGATTGTGGACTTTGCCATTTGGAATTAGGATTAGATTTTGACACTCTGGTAACCTGATCTAGGAACGGCTAATTGACTTTGATTGTGGACTTTTCCCAGCGTCCCTGCTTAACTGGGCGTTCCTCCATTAGCTTGGAGTTAGCAGTTATTTTGTTTCGATTAAACCCCTTTTCCCAGCCCTTTTTGGCTTGGCGCTTTTTGTTAGTCTTTTTTCCCTTTTGTGAATATCTGCCTTTTTTTTTTTAATAAAATCCTTTGTGGGACACTTACACTCTGTTATTATTTCACCCACACTCAAAATGTATTGCTCCCTCACCAACCACATCTCTCCTAGTGAGCTGAGGGACCACTTACACAGAATCATAGCTCTGAACCATTTATTCCCTTAGCCTCAGCAGCAACGACTTTATGGGATTTTTCACAAGTACAAACAAAATCTTTAGCATCCTCCCTAATGTGATTTCTTCTTCCTCAGTAAGTGAGGCAGTATCAGAGGTAACTGTAGAACCTCATCTGTGCTTGAACCGTTTTGATCCAGTTGAGCTTTCAGAGTTATCAAAAATATTAGCTTCATCTAAACCTTCAACTTGCATTTTAGATCCGATCCCAACCAAATTATTTATAGGTATATTTCCTTTGATTATATCTAGAATGGGGGCAGTAACCAATCTATCCTTAGTAAATGGATTTTAAGGTTGCTGTGATCAAATCTTTACTTAAGAAGCCTTCTCTGGATCCAGATGACCCAATGAATTATAGACCAATATCTAACCTTCCATTTTTATCCAAAGTCCTGGAGAAAATAGTGGCCATCCAAGTATGTGAGCATTTAAACACTAATGCTCTGTTTGAGGAATTTCAGTCTGGTTTTAGAGAATCACAGCACGGAAACTGCATTAGTGAAAGTTACAAATGATATTCTCAAGACCTTAGATAAGAATCTTGTGTCTGTTCTAGTCTTGTTAGATCTCAGTGCTGCTTTTGACACAGTTGATCACAATGTTCTTTTAGAAAGGCTTGAACATGTTGTAGGGATCAAAGGAACAGCACTAGGCTGGTTTAAATCCTACCTGTCTAATAGATTTCATTTTGTAAATGTACATGACAAATCTTCAAACTCCAGGGTTACTTATGGAGTACCACAGGGTTCAGTGCTTGGACCAATTATTTTTACTATATATATGCTTCCAATTGGTAAAATCATTAGACAGCATGGGACAAAATTCCACTGTTATGCTGACGATACTCAGTTATACTTATCCATTAACCCTGATGAACCTAATCGGTTAGGTAGATTACAGGTTTTCCTTGAAGACATAAAAAATTGAATGACTCAAAACTTTCTGCTTTTAAATCAAGACAAGACTGAAGTTCTCATCTTTTGACCTGAAATTCAGAAAAGAAAATTGCTTAGTCAATCACCTGACCTGAATTACATTACATTAATCTCTGAGAACAAAGAAAGGAACCTTGGTGTTATCTTTGACCAGGACATGTCACTCAAATCCCACATTAAACAGGTTTGTAGGATTTTCTTTTTACACCTTCGGAATATTGCTAAGATTAGAAGCATCCTTTCCTGGAGTGATGCTGAAAAACTAGTTCATGCATTTATTACATCAAGGCTGGATTATGTCACATCCTGTCCTGTCTCCCCACTCTGGTCAGTCCTGTTTCTCTCCTGATTGCTCCCACCTGCCTCTTGTCTCCCAATAACCGTAGATCCCAGCTCCTTGTGTATTTAAACCCTCCCAGTTCTGTGTTCCTTGTCTGTCCATTGTTTTCTTGTCCCGTGTGTTCCTTATTAAAAAACCTTCTAAACGTTCCTGCCTGCATGCCTGCCTTCTTCCCCACATTTGGATCCTCACCTCCGCACCTGTGACAAAATGGAAAGACCCAGCATAGGATCCAGTGGGAACACTCTCCTCTGGGAGTGCCTGCTCCGGTGGCTCACCCTATCTACCAGCCGGCCTTGTTCCCCCAGTGCCATCTCGCCGCAGACACCGCCGCCAAATCTCGGCCTCGGCGATCCTCTCCACCCTCCCAGAGTCAGATGGGAGGTTGGGCTGGGAGGCGCTGCCGGACCGCTCCGGCTGTGTGGGCACCAGACTGGCTGTGTGCTCCCCCGAAGTTGGCCCACGGCGCTGGGAAGGAACCCATGCCCCGCCGTCACCTCCAGCCCCGGAGCTGCTCCATGGCTCACCAGAACCCCTGCTGACGTCACCTCCAGCTCCTCGGTTAGTCAGCCTCCAGAAGGGGTTGCGAGGACGTCTTGTGGGCGGGGCACAAGACCAGAGGACACCCCTCCCGAGGTCTCCTCCCATTCCAGGGGGGCCACGAGAGGGACCATACGGCGAGGTCGAGGGAGCAGAGTGGTGCCATCCATCTCAGAGGCCCCTGCTCCGCGCGCCAGCTTGGACCCCCAGCCTCCGTCTCCGGTCCAGTCAGCACCCCCCTCATCGACAGGCCAAGAGACAGACCCTGCAGCCAATGCAACGGAGCTCGCTGGTCTCCAAACTGAACTGATCCATCTTGGTCAACTCCTCAGCCTCCAGGATGTCCAGCAGGAGACTCTATCCGCCCTGGTTCTCCAAGAGGCGTTTCAAGTCCAGTCAGCGGCCCCACCTCCAGTTAAGTCAGCAGCTCTGCCTTCGGAGCCTCCAGCGGCCCCAATTCCAGTCAAGTCAGTGGCTCCACCTCCGGAGTCTCCAGCAGCCCCACCTCCAGTCGAGTCAGCAGCTCTGCATCCGGAGCTTACAGGGGCCCTGCCTCTAGTCAAGTCAGCGGCTCCGCCTCCAAAGCCTCCAGCGGCCCCATCTCCAGTCGAGTCGGCGTCACTGCCTGCAGTGGCTCCACCTCCGGAACCTCCAGTGGCTTCGCCTTCAGTCGAGTCGGTGTCACCGCCTGCAGTGGCTTCACTTCCAGAGTCTCCAGCAGCCCCGCCTCCAGTCAAGTCAGTGGCCCTGCCTTCAGTCAAGTCAGTGGCCCCAACAACCCCGCCTCCAGTCAAGTCTGCAGCCCCAACGGCCCCGCCTCCAGTCGAGTCAGCGGCCCCGCCTGCAAAGCTCCACCTCCAGTCAAGTCAGCATCACCTCCTGCTGTGGTTCCACCTCTAGTCAAGTCAGCGGCCCCGCCTCCAGTCAAGTCAGCATCACCATCTGCAGCGGCCCTCGTCCAGGCAAGTCAGCGGCCTTACCTCCAGTCGAGTCAGGGACCCCTCCTGCAGCGGCCCCGCCTCCAGTCAAGCCAGCTGCCCCTCCTGCAGTCGAGTCAGCATCACCACCTGCAGAGGCCCCATCTCCAGGCAAATCAGCGTCCCCACCTCCAGTCGAGTCAGCGGCCTCGCCTGCAGCGGCGCCACCTCCAGT